GTTCTTCTGGAGGTGATGCCTTTCACTGGCATCAAAATCGCCCTAAACAAAACATGTCCCTTTTAAAGAATATGATGTGTGTACAATATGCTTTTCCAGAGAGATGAAGTATTAGCATTTGAAAGGACTGATGAGAATGCATATTTAGGAAAGACCTTTGTTCAGAGAATTGCTGCTATGTTCTATGTGCCTATCACCGTGGTAATTCAATTATTTGCTACTGACATAAGGTATACAGCACAAGCCTTTTGCCATTTTCCATGATGTACTTCTTAGCAAAGAGTGCCACTTGTCGATTTAAGATTTATAGTAGGATATTTTAGCAGTTATGTCTACTATCATAGAGATGGATGTGGTTTGAAAGCATGAAACAAAAAGGAACAGGTAATTAATTACATCTCCTTCTTGCAGTTTAATATTCCTTCCTATTTCCACTTAAAACGTGAACCATTCTGGGACTGCAGGAGCCACAAAGCAAAACCAAAGCTGTGCTCTCCGCGTGGCTTTTTCTACTAGGATGCTACTAACACGAATCGCTGTTTTCGTTTCTTCCCAGCATCACCGCTTTCAGGACACTGGTGCAAACAAAATAAGCCTTTCTCTTCGTTGAGGTCGTTCCATGCATGCTCAGAGCATGATGTGATCTCTGTGAAGGGTGTAGCGGTCACTGAGTACTGTGTGAAGGTTTATGCAAGGGAATTACTTGATTAATCTTTTGGGGGGGGGGTTTAGGATACAAACTACCAGGTCAGGAATTGGGAGACGCTCAAAGAACCTCGTTAACATGACTCACTAAACAGAGAGAAAATAATCTCAAATACTTGTGCTACCATATGCGTAGATCTTTCATTTTAAATAGTATTCTGTAGGAAAAGGTGCAATAATAGGTATGGTGGTGAGTAGTACTGCTTAGTGAACTGCTCAGCATATGAAAGAGATGGTACTCTTTTTTGCTCCTTCGTGCTGTGGGTGATTGTCACCTCTAGTTTTCTGTTCCTCGAAGTAAATCCAGCTTTCTAGAAAAGTTTGTGGTTCTGTGTTGTTCTCACCACAAAAGAGCAGGGGTAACCTCCCTGCAGAAGTCTCTGTGCTTTCTTTAAGGCAGATGGAGAGCAAAATACAGTTAAACAGTAGGGATTTTACCCACTCACTGCTGCCCGTTTTCTCTCCCTCTTCCAGTACAGAATGGAGAAGTTTTCATTCTTGTTACAGTATTGCATGTAGAAGAGACAAATGCCAATGCCAGGCATTTATTCTTTATGCAACATTTTGGTTACCAAATGACTCTGGGATTAGTCTTATGTAATGACTGAGACAGGTTCCCCTGTAAGGATGTTTAAGTGCTTTGCTGTTGGTAGCTTCTGGGATCAGCTTTCTAGACAAGTAGCATTTAAAAGCATTCCTCTGTGGTTTTCCGTGAAGGGAAAGCTGACACACATGTATTAATTTTTGTTGCCTAACACACCCTTTCATTCTAACCCTAGTGCCAGTGTTTCATGTTGCTTTCATGTTGGTTTTATTAGACTAGTGGCAGACTAAGGCACCTTAATTTCTTGTTATGTTTAGATATCAAGCTGAAATATCCAAACATATATGCTGACCTTCAGGTTGACCCCATGCCATGACTCTGACCTGGCAGGGAGCAGCTCCCTAGCACATGGAGGCAGCTGCGTCACAGTCCTGAAAAACGTGAGGCAAAGCTGTTTCCTCCCAAAATCATACGAAAGAGCATTAGGCATTGTTTCACTCCAGTGTTTGTTCATGGTCCGTATCTTGTTTCCTCCCGTGGCGTCAGAATAAATCTCTGTCTTCCTTTTCCCTTTGAGCAGAGCTTCACTGTATTCCCTGTGTTTCCTTACCTGAAAAGCTGCAGGCTGGTGCAGAGGAGAGTTGTGACACTAAGATCAGCTGAACCTAATGGAGAGGAGTCCGCGTGACTGCAAACCGCGTGGACTGGTCTGGCGGTCAGTTTAGGTAAATAAAGCCCAGTGTGCTCACTGCTAAGCTCCTAAATGGTTTTTTTTTTCTTTTACCCAGTGAAGCTGCTGTTCTAGGGTTTGGCCTCAAAATTTTCTTTCTCAGGATAGAGAGCTAAAGCTTCCGTATTGTCAGGCTGCAGCATGACATGCAGCAGAGAGTTCATTATGCATTAGCAGAGCCATCTTTAAGATAGGCAAACACTCTGTGGCTCTGCAGAACAAAAGAAAAGCAAGAAAGGGAATGAGCAAAGGTAGTATTTGCTGACAATAATTTTTTTCAGTTGCAGCTCATGGCAGGGATTAATCACAGTGTCTTAGTATTTTGTTTGGGAGTGGGAGGGGTGGAAGTATTAGGGGAGGGAAGAGACAAGTATTCTTCCCCATCTCCTTTGAATGGTTAATATTAGAACTCTGGAAACAATGCTTAAGATTTTGAAACTTACAATGTGCCTTTTCTTGAAATAGCATTGAACCATTATACTCTTCCTTTCTAATTAGTAACAAAGATGCAAATAAACCAAGCTAAAAGGTGGGAGAAAAATGTAGCATCCAATGTTGCATCCACATGAGTTCTTGTGTAGCCAGCCATGTGTAGGTACAACTTCATTTTTTGCCTATAATTAAATTTAGATTAATTACATTTAGTGCAATCCCCATTTTATTTCTCCCACACCAATGCTTAACTTCTAATGCAGCTAACAGAACTCTAGTCCTGTGTTGTTCTGTAAGACCTCCACACTTTCCTAATTTAAATACCTCCTAAAGCTGCTGGTTTCCCACAACATCCACAAGAAACTATCGTCCCATTCTGACGTATTTCATTTGCCTCGTGAATGAATGGCTCTCTGGGATGGATGGAGAGGGAATACAGAAACAAGTGAGTAAGGATTAATTGTCATCTTCAGTTAACCATGACCAGTGAAGAAACAATGTTGTAGATACCCCTATATCAGCTTACACCTACATTAAGCAAACTTGTGTTTACATCACATTAAATGGCGGTAATAACTATTCCATCATGGAATATATTCCCAATATTTACCAGACTTAAGGATCAAGCCTGTGACCGTACACCTTCTAAAGAGATTTTCAGCCAAAGCAATTTGCAGATGTTTTTTATAAGTTGTATTACTGTAACACATTTAAAAACTGAAATACTGGCAGCTGTAGTGATGTTTGCGAGCCTGGGTTTGGAAATTGTTTCTGTTGAGCCCCGATTCATTATCCCTCTGTCTCATTCAAATTTCTTACTGAGGATGTAGCGTCTGGCCAATCCCTTGTTATTCCATTTACTTGCTTCCCCCAGGTCTGCCCTCTCGACTGCTTTGCAGGGGTGGAGCAGAGCAGAGCTGCACCCTCCCGGCAGTTACACCTCCCCCTCTTTTCTCCAGGATCACTTTTCTACAGCATTTAACCTGCACACAGGGAAAACTCTTGGCTGGCTTTTAGCAGTTAACTGCAGTCAGCTTAACACTTTATGAAATGCAGTTTGCCCTTTCCAATGCCAGCCAGACTTAACTTGCTTTATCTTCAGAGCACACAAAAGAAGGAGGAATGCTTTAATTTGAAGTAACCTTTTTTGTTGTAAACTGCCAGTGGGAGCAGGGCAAGCTTCCCACCTATGTCGAGTGGAACAGAATTGATATCAAATAGCTATTCTGAGGTAAAAACTAATTGTATCAAATAGCTATTGTGAGGTAAAAACTATCTGTGCCTGGTTTTAATAGGATTTGAGGTTAAAATTAATATCTTGAGAGTTGTCTTTGTCTATGAACACTTACAGTCTTAGTTCTAATCAAATAGTCATAATAAACATGGTTATTAGAATGAAACAATTTCAGGACAGAGATGACCCAAAGCTTGCTGAATGCCTTTGTGTGCCATTAAATGCAGAGTTCTGCCAGTCTGGGAGCTCCTTCTGCCTGCCACTTGATCTCTGGTTTCCTATTATTTTTCCCCTCAGATTTTCTCTCTTTCACTGAAGTGAGTGTTTACCTTTGAAAGCAGAAGCTGTATGGGCTCCATTTGAAACTAACAAGTATGCCAGAACTGCCAGTTAAATTCAGTAACACAAGCACTCCAATTACACAGATGCCCTTGCAAGAGCTAGGTATTCCAGCCTGCTTTTGATAGAGAGCAAGATTTTTTTTTCACTCTTACTCAACTTACAAGTTTGTCCTGTGTTTTCATTAACTTGTCTGCCTAACCAGCAACTCTTAAATACTTTTTGCCCCCATCATTCTCTCCTCTCTGTTCCTTTTCCCTGTTCTCCTTTGTCTTGTCTTTCCACAGTATACAGGGTAAGAAATCTTACACTGCTGTTTGGTGCTCCACTTAGGGAGTGATGACTGCCTTCATCCTCCATCTCTGTCCTTCTCCCACAAATGGATAGTTGGTCGTCACAATACTTCAAATGCATTTTATTCCTGTTTCTAATTGCCAGTGAAGGGCAAAGAGATGAGAAAGAAATGTTTTACTTTGTTTTGAAGCTGTTCATTCAGTCTCCTTCCCCAGGCTGAGGCCGGGATGGTAAGGCAATGAGATGCCCCATGTCAAGCTGGCAACGCCGCTCTCCAGCGCACAGAGGTTGCACGGTGTTTTCCTTATGCCCATCACCACCAGCCCCACTGATCTGAGTGGGGTATGTGTGCCCAGTGCTCCCTCAAATGGCCCCATTAGCACCAAAATGAGACAGTGAGATAGATGTGGTGTCAGCAGCAGATCAATGGTGTTAGTAAGCACAGCCCTCCTCCTGGGATTGTTTGCTCTGGTAAGAAGCTACCCGACTGCAATAGAAGTTGAGATATGAGGTGTACTTCAGCAAAGGCCTCTGCAAAAATTAAAATTCATCTCAGTTCCACCTCTCTGGACTGTGTATTTTAGCATTAAGGTGATTTTCAAGCAACAGGAACAAAATTAGACCACAAATAAAAATGATCCAGAGGGTAAGTGTTTGGCCTCATGTATTTGCATTTGTAGGCACATATATTTATGAGTCCTCTTTTGGTTTATGTTTTGTAGGACGAAGAAGGTCAGCCATTGCTACCGGATCGTTTACCGCCACCCGGAGAGGACTTTGACGCAGGACGAGGTGCATCGCATCCATCAAGCTATTGAAGAGTCAGCAGTTCGAGAACTTGGGGTTGAGGGCAGGTTCTAGAACTGCTGGTCTGAAGCCCTAATGGTGGTTGCTTTTTTCTTTCTTTCTTTTCTCTTTTTATTTCTCTTTTCGGGATTTTAGGTTGCAAGTAAAGAGAGGGGTTTTGTGACTGAACGTAGAACATGGAAAGCGATTGATAAATGGGCAGTGGTAAAACTAGCAGGTAATAAACATTACTACTGAGAAATCACTGACAAAGGGCTGGTGCTTTATTTTAAGAAATGGGGGAACAGCAGTAATGTAAGATTTCCCTCCTGTTACGATAAGAAATACACTGCCCGGTGGTTTTCTGTGTTGTTAATTGGTCCCTGGGTTCCATTAAACCGTAAATACTTGGCATTATTTCTGTGTTGACAGGATCTTCTGTCTGTGTAACAAGTGAAGCAAATCAGAGACATAGATTAGCTCAGGGAAGAATAACCCATCCTGCTGCCTGCCCCCCCCCTTTTTTTTTTAAATAAGAAATGTCAGATTTTCCTTCAAGAAGCCTTCCAAGAAGTACATCTTGCAAGGTTTGGCTCTCTTACCTTCAGAGCCCATGTGTGTTACTTCCATCAGCTACAGAGAAGGAGCCAATCTGGTTCTGGGCTTGGCTGTTTTCAAATGCTGGGGTCATTGGCAAGTTTTTCCTTTTAGATCCTCTTACTCCCACAGGAGCAGAGCCACTTAGTGAGGTGCTCTAAGCTGTGGCACCTTCCCCAGGGAAGAAACTCCCTTGTCTCACTTCTCGAATAGGCACCAGTACAAGATAAGTCTCTTCCCCTGTCACCATCAAAGGATTGATATCACCTGGGGCAGGATGGCAGAAAAGAGAAACTCTTCCCTACAATGCCCTGAAAAGTAGCTGCCTTGATCTATCACAGTATCTTACTCTCTAGTAGCGGTTCTGCTCGAGAATTTGACCTTTAAGGCAGGAAACCAAGCTAAAATGGGATCTCCTGCTATTTGAGGCACCAGTCGCTTTACAGGATGTTTGCCTTTTTCACTGCAGGTTATAATAAGTAAATTCTGGTGATGGTATGATGCTAGGGCCTGTAGAAGTGTTCAAATGATCTGATAAATACTTGATGAACCATTGCAGATGCTGATATGGAATATGGGACCTGTTTTTGCTTGTAATGGTGTTTCATAGAGTCTTGCAGGTCACATCTGGTTGCTGTGCAGGCAACATTCCCTCCTTTAGGGAAGAAGGCAATAAAAATGCTGCAATAAACAACATCTTACACAGATTTATACCTTATCAAGAAACATCTGTGCAGCAGGCTTGTACTCAACCATAAGAAGCCAGTCACTATTGCAGATGTGACAGAAGCAGAGAGCTCATTTTAATTTCATTACTCAACATATTTAGCTGTGTAAACAAATCCTAATCTAAATCATTGTTTTGCTATCCAAGTAACTTGATTATGAAAACAGTATGCTAGACTTTCTACAAGGCAAAAAGAATGGGTGCCATTTAGGCACCAGAAAAACTTACTTGGGTATTTTTAAACCATCATCTACTAAGATCCTTAAATAAAGCCTAGCCCATTTGATGTTCCTCTGTCTCCTTCATCCTTCGCCTTTTCAGGATTCTCAGTGAGGACCACTGAAGAGCAGGAGCACTTCCCTGAATTGCACTGAGCAATAATTGTTCCAAGACAGGGCCTGATCGATGCTGCCACATGGGGCAGCAGATTATGTGGATCTTAACTGATGGAATTGCTTATGGAAAAAGTACCATAACCTGCCTGCTGTATGAAAGAACTAAGTCTCTTGGGAAAACAAGACACTATCTGGGGTGAAGTAGAGGACAAGATTTCCCTTTTAATTTAGTATTTATTGAAGTTTCCCCTTTCTGCTCCCTAAATCCTTCAGTACCTCTTTCATTCTGATCAGCCAGTTTTGGGAGCATAAAAATCTCAGGAAAGCAAGGAGAAAACTGGACAATGAGTCTTTGTCACTGCAGCCACTGGCTGCCATGTCTGGCTTTGCAAGGCAATTTGGATGTTCTTGGATCAGCCAGTCTCCAGTTGCTAACATCAACTCGATGATCTCTCTTTTCCAACCTAAACAATTCTATGATTCTATGAGCCTGCACTCTGTTGTGTGTGCCAGCACATCCTGGCTCACTGCAACAGCCAGGCCTTGGTGGAGTCATGTTATTCTTTGAAACCTGAAAGATAAATCTCACGGGCTAATAGGATAAGGGGGAAATGCAAAGCTTTCCCTGAGGTTGACCTAACACCACAGAATCATCTTCCAGAGTAGAATAGCAGCAGCTTTCACACAAAAATGTGAATTATTAACATTAAAAAAACCAAGCAGCTTCTTCAGGAGCAATCACAATTCAGTCACATGAATGCCTGTAAAATCATATGGGCTGGCTGTGAGCATAATATAAATACTTGGGTAAAACTTTGTCACATATATTCTTAGATTAATCTGCTCTAAACACCTATTGTTCCAACAAAGATACACCACAACTAACTAGCAAAGCAGACTTCAGATCAAAAGGCATCAGAGTTGCATTTTTGCTGCTGTCCTTTGGAAAACCTGTTTTTCCCTTTAAAGCCTGACCTTAATTTTACTGGGGAAATTTGCTATGGATAATAGTAAACTCTCAAACCATGTGATTCCTTGTGGATACTGACAGAGAGCCCATAAGAGTCTTAAAATTGTAATAGCCATTATTTATTTTACCACTGATCAGAGACATAATACGCTAACAGCATCTCAGAGGCTGGACTGATCTTTAGGGGGAGTGTGGAAAACTTGACCGAGGAAGTCCTTGGTACAGTCACTGACCAACTCTTGTCAAAGAAAGGGCTACCCTCTGCTATCACTTGGCTTTTCTCAAGACATATTTAGCAAAAAGGTAGCTGAACTACCTTGAAGACCAAGAACAACGTAACTAACAAGATAAGATCCCTTGCTAGTCTCTGCTACCCTACAATCTGTCTCATGAACGTTCCTCAACCTTGGGTGGGCTACAAGTCTAGTAAAGGTGGATGAGTTACTAAATATCAAAGTGGTGCCATGCCATATGGGAATATTAAGGGGAGCAGCATTCGAGTAATTAATGTGCATGTTGACTGACTAGTGTAGTGACAGGCATAATGCATTGCTTCTTGTTTTTCTCAGCTGCCTGTGTTTATTTTTGTGTGCCTCAGGGTTTTATATCAGCATCCTTTAATAAAAGAGAAAAAAGTCAATTGTAGCAAAAGAAGCTACACATTCCCAGGAATACTAGCTGGAGATTTATGTGACTGAACAGTATATGTGGTTTAAATGTTCTGGGTGCTGGTTTTCTTTGTAGTTGCCATTGGTTTTCAAGCTAACCGTGATTCCTCAAAGACTAAAGATTTAGCTTTAACACAGTTTGGGATCTTCCCAGTAAACTGGCAGCAGATTTGCAGTGCACTAAGTCTTACCTGGTTTTGATGTTCCTGTTAAAGGTGCTGCAATGGAAATGTGTTGAGATCTAGATAGGCAGTAAATGGCTCTGTGTCTTTACCCTTGAGACTGCAGTGACCTCTGCCATAGAATTGCCAGGCACGATCAAACAGTTGCACAAATCTGGAAGCAGTTTTGTACAGAGAATCCAAACTATGTTAGTAAATCACTGGTGGCCGTCGTTTCCCTTCCACTGAGGGTGTTACTGCTGCCCCTTCTGCAGCACTGAATTTACTGTCAGCTTATTCTGTGCACCTGTATTGAGTTCCCAAGTATGAAAAAAATGGTCTCAAGCTTTGAATAATTTCATGTAGGGATTAGCTTTTTTTAAAAAAAAAATGGGGAAAAAAAAAAACAGTTGTAGGCTTTTTGTGTGTTTGGTAATTTTTATCTACAGTGCATTTCAACTGTCCTGGATAACCTTGCAGGTAAGAGAGGACTCTTTGGTGATTCATTGAAGTTAACACAGGGAGTCTTGCCCCGAAAAGCAGAATTGTGTCCATCTTATTGAGTTCATATTTGGGTAAAGCTAAAAAACCTCATCTTCACAGTGGGTTTACTGAAGATTGGCTGGTACTGATTAGTTAAAGCAAGGTCAGAAAGCACTCTATCTTGCCACCACTACCCCAAACAACACAGACACAAGGACATTGTATCAAATTCAGTGTGAGCACATAAAATGGTGGTGCTGGGTATTTGAGTCTTGCTGGTTGGTATCACTGAACTATCTCCATCAGAGATAGAATTGTTACCATCTGGAGGAGGAAATGAGTTTGTACTTCATCTCTGAAATAAGCAGCCATACTTTCAAAGCTCAGAGTTCTCTTCAGCTGCTGTCTGCTGTTCATCTTTGCTGAGAGAAGACTGTTGCCGTAAAACAGATTTGCTTTCTGTGTAGATCAGGCCATATTGACTAATTACACACATCCTGATCAAATTTTAAGGTTTGTGAGCATTGCCTCTGAAAGGCCACCAAAACTAAAGCAGTCTTGTGAGGTCCTTGAACAAATCTGTAGAGGACAAGAAACCAGTCTTTGGTACTTACTACCTGCTTTTAAATGTTAGTGCAGTTCAACCCAGAGCTGGGTGAAGGCACTGACTTCTCTAGAGTCTGTTGTATAAGCTTTGATCATCATTAACATCTGACACACTCAAATGTTTGGCAGATTTTGTGCTTTTGTGCCTTTCTCATATGGCCTCTGTTATTCTATTTATGTTCACTGTTAACAAAGTAGAGTCTGTTTTAGTCTGCCTATTATACTTGGAATACTGACATGATCTAGCTTTCCCAGTTCAGTTTTGCTTACCTTCTTGTGCAGTTCTTGCTATTGAAATTTGGTGCAACTTTGGTGAGGAAACAGTGTCAGGCTGCAGGCAGGGAGATTTATTATACCACAGCCTAGAGCCTGTGCTCCCATGCCGCATTACTGCAGGGTCTCTCTGTGCTCAGCCTCTGGATACAGGTGATTAACATGCGGTCCAGGGAATTGTGCCTCTGCCTGCTCAGTAATTTGCTGGGCAGCACTGCAGTCATCCAGAGCAGCTGCCACTTAAATGGGCAGTAGATTGTTCTCTTTTTATTTTAGTGTCTGCAGCTTCCCTTATATCACTGTGTGGTACAGCCAGAAGCGCTGTGTTGGTATTTGCTGCAGCTAAGCATCAATTAGATGCATCTCGTGATGTGGTGCTTGTGCAGCCATTTGTTTGCAGAATCACTGTGTGCATGTAAATGGTTATTCCCATCTCCATCTACAG